TGGTTTTTTATATAGTATTTTTAACTTGTATGTAGATATATAATGATATTGTAATGCGCAAATGAAAATTTTATATTGATGTTTGTCCAATAGAAATTTTATTACTAAATTATTATTACTCTTTGACAACTCCTATCAGATGAACTTCAAATTTTAATGATGGTCTTTTATTCCAAAAATCAATAAATTTTCATGTGCCAAAGAATGCTTTTTAGGCACTGAATATACCCCTCATGGGTGGTGGCAATTTTTTCAGCAGTTGGGCAGTCACGGCTATAGAAACTTAGATTATCTCAAATCAACTGAAAGTCAAATTTTCTAAGCTTCTTTAGGGGAGATTTTATTAAAGGTTGATAAGAATGCTACTGGTGCAAACCAATGCGGTAAATCAAGGATTCAGTTTCCTCACAAATTCACTCAACCCAGCCAAAAGATCACATCCATCACAATATTTTATTTTAATCACTATTTATTTATAAAAGACCTTTAAAAGAAGTTTTGTTAATTCTTGAGGAAAACCTTTCAACAGGAAGGGTTTGCATTTTTAATGCTGTCTTCCCACGTAACATAATCTATCAACCCAGTAACTCCCTCGTCAGGATTCTCTCTCATTTCATCAAGGTTTACTGTCATTTTCTTGGAAATTATTTGTTTTCCAGAGTTATTGCACACTTAAGGTTTACATAAATTTTGTTGGGAAGCATATGTGTTGTATCCTTGAATACTACTTGCATATCGAAAATGATTTTGGAAGGGATCTACTTAAGCAGGCCTTTGTGCAAAAACTTTTTTATCAAATTTGTTTACCAGCACTACAACCATATCCGTCTCTTAAATCTCCAAAGGCCATATACATGAATGGTGATGTATGGCACACAGCATCTAGTTCTCTTTGTTCACTTTTACAAAGTTTTATTCCACTTAGTTATTTTAATTTACTAACTCTCATAGATAGCTGCCTAAATTGCGTACAAAACAAAATTTTGTTTTCTTTTTCTGGCTGGTAGTTGTATTTAAGGTTTGAAATTATTGGTCTCAGTTCCTAGCTAAGCGCCCACATAAGCGGAAATGGAAAAGTTTTATTTTACCTCAGCATATGCAAAGCAAAGCAAGGTTAGCTGAGTATGGTACCCCTGTATGCTGACCATTATGTATTGCCCATTCATGAAATCACAATTCAACACAATGGGGCCAGACCACTCCTTCTATGTTGTGTGACAAGACTCGGTAGTTTCTTTCGAAATGGTGCCAAAAAAGTCTGCAAGGGCTTCTGGGTTACACCTTATTAGGATTTAGTCCCAAAGCAGCCAACTCTCAGTTGATAATTGGTAGGGAACTGGTCTGGGCCATGCAAATTTGGCAGCCATTTCAAGAAAGTTGAAAATATTAGCTTTTTGCTGATATAGGATAAAGGCTATTGAAGTTTGCATAACTGGAAAAAAATGGCATGATAGGAGACAAAAATGCAGAGCCAAGTAAAGGTGGTAAGGGCTTTAGGTATCATCTTCTATGAACTTTTCGGAATGTGATGAACTTCAATAAAAATCTGAAATGATGCGATGTCAGTTCAAAGTCTGTTTTCATTAAATATGCATTTATTTGCTACTTTTGTCTCCTCTTATTCCAAAGTTGTTCTTTGGGCAGCTTGGCTGAGGTGGTTTAAAAGCTTTAGGCAGACTTTTGCTAAGCATAGGTCTCAGAACAGCTTCCAGCCTAAATTAATTCAAGTATAACATTAGAAAAGTAGATTTAACAGGCCTGCTGGAAAATAACTGAAACTGCTGCAGCCCAGCTCCAGCTCATGATGTGCTTTCTGATACAGGATTTGTGAATTAAATGATGCATTTGATTTCAATTAGATTCTAATCTGTACTTAATTTTAGATTAAGTAGATTTGCATTCTTTACTTTATTTCATTTTCTGTTATTTTAATTTAGAGTGCCAATAATAAACTATATCAAGCAAATACATTGACACCAAATTTAGTTACTACTTTGGCCCGTGATTCCATGTGGAATATAATTATCATTATTATGGTCATCATCATCATCATCATCATTATTATTATTATCATTATTACTAATTATTGTCGTCTGTAGTCTAAAGTCTCCGTAAATATTCAGACCAGTTGTTGTTGGGTCCAATATTTGTAATCAACAAATAATGATCTTTTTAAAATATATATTTTTAATAACTAGATCACTGAACTCAAAGCTATTATTGTAAAGGACAACAAGAGTTCAGTCCAAACCAAAAAGGCTTTAGGAGTAAAGTACAGAAGATTCCAGTGAAAAGCCTGAGAATCTTTCAAGGTTTCAGCTATTGCGAAGGAAAAAAAAGACTATTGCTGCACTTTAGCCAATTCATTGTGGAGGCAACAAAAAATCAACATCTGATGACCGATCTGAGTAGATGGTTTCTGGACAACCTTATTGGTACAACTTCACAACAAGTCATGACAGCTTATATCACCAATTTAGCAGTGTGCATGAATGGTATTATACCAAAAATTGTACAGATGGAAGTTGAAAAATATGAAAAAAGTAGTCAAAACCAACTTAGGAGCATCCATGTGTTGTAGGAAGGGGGGTTGTTAAGCAAAAGGAACTACACAAACATTAGAAACAGCTGTGATGTGACAAAACAAGCTCCAAATAAACCATGTAGAAATGACAAAACACTTTATGAAAGGCTGTGAGATTCCTAAAATTCTTGTATACAAAACCCTAAGGAGTTACATATTAAGAAATATTGACGTTGGCCGGTGAAGTTTTAACTTTGGAGTCATTGGTCACTTGGCAAGGATGACACAGCCACTGCATATTTGGTTAGCTTTCTTAACCTGTTGAACAGAGTACAAAGTTGTAATGATAATCATTTACTCCTTGGTGCCAACTGTGAAGATCATCCACTAATGAAATCTTACTCAAATCATCGAGGAAAAAATGGAACAGATTGAAGGGAAGACATTGACTACTAAGAGAAAAAAGCAGATCGTGTTCAAATTTGAACTGATACCTTCTGACATGAAATGAATGTCATCCCAATCAGGAGAACTAAAAAATTATGCAACCGATTTTCATCTTTCAATGTTAATCAAACAGAAAAGGGAACCATTGGTGGTTTTATTGGTGGCCCTAAAGCAACAAATCACACAAAGGTTGCTAACGATGAAGTGGTCGTGTCTTCATGTCGCTCTGACAATATACCTTCTAGCTTATCTAATTGCTGCACAGTTGTCAAGCAGCCGTCTGAAACTGTTGATTAACGGAAATTTGGAGACTTTGGTGGTTTGTAAGGATTTGAACCAAGCGGTGATGATAAA